TCACTAACACATATTCATCATCATCATAATCATCATCATCACTTGGTTTGGTTTTTTATATGGCCATGTGGTTTGACTTCTGTCATATTTAGGCCTAAATGCAGTTTCTCTTTGTTCAGCATTCATACACTTAATTGGGATATTGATTCAAATTCAACTGTTCCTGTCATATTCTTCCATGGTTTATCATCAAAGGCTTGTAGTAGCTGCCCAGTGACACAAGCCTACCAGACGAGCTAAATCACTTCTATGCTCGCTTCGAGGTAAGCAACACTGAAGCATGCATGAGAGCACCAGCTGTTCTGGATGACTATGTGATCACGCTCTCCGTAGCCGATGTGAGTAAGACTTTTAAGCAGGTCAACATTCACAAGGCCGCAGGGCCAGACGGATTACCAGGACGTGTACTCCGAGCATGTGCTGACCAACTGGCAAGTGTCTTCACTGACATTTTCAACATGTCCCTGACTGAGTTTGTAATACCAACATGTTTCAAGCAGACCACCATAGTCCCTGTGCCCAAGGACACTAAGATAACCTGCCAAAATGACTATAGACCCGTAGCACTCACGTCTGTAGCCATGAAGTGCTTTGAAAGGCTGGTCATGGCTCACATCAACACCATTATCCCAGAAACCCTAGACCCACTCCAATTTGCATACCGCCCCAACAGATCCACAGATTATGCAATCTCTATTGCACTCCACACTGCCCTTTCCCACCTGGACAAGAGGAACACCTACGTGAGAATGCTGTTCATTGACTACAGCTCAGCGTTCAACATCATAGTGCCCTCAAAGCTCATCACTAAGCTAAGGATCCTGGGACTAAACACCTTCTTCTGCAACTGGATCCTGGACTTCCTGACGGGCCGCCCCCAGGTGGTAAGGGTAGGTAACAACACATCTGCCACGCTGATCCTCAACACAGGGGGCCCTCAGGGGTGCGTGCTCAGTCCCCTCCTGTACTCCCTGTTCACCCATGACTGCATGGCCAGGCACGACTGCAACACCATCATTAAGTTTGCTGACGACACAACAGTGGTAGGCCTGATCACAGACAACGATGAGACACCCTATAGGGAGGAGGTCCGAGACCTGGCCGTGTGGTGCAAGGATAACAACCTCTCCCTCAACGTGATCAAGACAAAGGAGATGATTGTGGACTACAGGAAAAAAAAGAGGACTGAGCACGCCCCCATTCTCATCGACGGGGCTGTAGTGGAACAGGTTGAGAGCTTCAAGTTCCTTGGTGTGCACATCACCAACAAACTATCATGGTCCAAACACACCAAGACAGTCGTGAAGAGGGCACGACAAAGCCTATTCCCCCTCAGGAGACTGAAAAGATTTGCCATGGGTCCTCAGATCCTCAAAAGGTTCTACAGCTGCACCGTCGAGAGCATCCTGACTGGTTGCATCACCGCCTGGTATGGCAACTGCTCGGTCTCCGACCGCAAGGCACTACAGTGGGTAGTGCGTACGGCCCAGTACATCACTGGGGCCAAGCTTCCTGCCATCCAGGACCTCTATACCAGGCGGTGTCAGAGGAAGGCCCTCAAAATTGTCAAAGACTCCAGCCACCCTAGTCATAGACTGTTCTCTCTGCTACCGCACGGCAAGTGGTACCGGAGCGCCAAGTCTAGGTCCAAAAGGCTTCTCAACAGCTTCTACCCCCAAGCCATAAGACTCCTTAACAGCTAATCATTGCTACCCGGACTATTTGCACTGCCCCCCCCACCCCCACCCCCCTCTTTTACGCGGCTGCTACTCTGTTTATTATTTATGCATAGTCACTTTAACTCTACCTACATGTACATATTACCGCAATTACCTCGACTAGCCGGTGCCCCCGCACATTGACTCTGCACCAGTACCCCCGTATATAGCCTCCCTACTGTTATTTTATTTTACTGCTGCTCTTTAGTTATTTGCTTTTATTTTATTTACTTAACACTTTTTTTTTTTTATCTTTAAAAAATGCATTGTTGGTTAAGGGCTTGTAAGTAAGCATTTCACTGTAATGTCTACACCTGTTGTATTCGGCGCATGTGGCAAATAAAAATTGATTTGATTTGATTAGTAGCTACAGATTCATGGTATAGGAGTAAAATACAATAAATTCTTCATAACAGCATTCTTCCTGACCATAAATAAGATGGGTATGCACCTGCTAATATACACTAAGAACACAGTTAGGCTATTTACTCATTCATGCTCAACATCTTGATATTTGTTACGGGGTTTCATCCATGTTTCAGTCTATCCTAAAGGGGAGGAAAGTGTAAGTGGTCCATCTGTCTGTGATTGTTGAGTTGGGATGGGATGCAAGTCAGGCAGACGAGCAGGGAGGGGCAGTCAGGAGAATCTGATGCAGCTGTCTCGTTCAAACACAGCCCCCATCTCTTCCTTAATCCCCTCGCCCTCAGTCCGATATTATTGAAATTATGAGTGTGTGTGTGTGTCGAGGGGTATTCAGTGTGTGTGTGTGCATGTGAGTGTGTGTGTGTCGAGGGGTATTCACAGGGAGAGGAAGAGAGGTGGCAGACAGTTGGGCCAGGGAGAGGAGAGGGCAGACAGCTGAGGGGCCATGTGTTTGCTGGTAACTAACCACAGTGACACATCAGTCACATGATCCACTGCAGAGGAGCGACGTCACTGCAGCAAAATCTTGAACAAAGAGGGGCGGAGGTCTGGCCAGGCAGACTAGGGGGGAAGCGGGGGTTAGAAGAAGGAGGTTGGTGCAGAAAAAGTCATACTCTATTGTAATACATGAATTAACTCCTTTTAAGAGTCTGGCCCCTTCAAATTTCTGTCAAGCATCTATAACTTCTCATCCTTTCAATTTTTATATTTATTTTGATGGAACCCTATTTTGTTACCCTTTTTCAATTTTATGTTAAATTGGCATGAAAGTATTTTCATGCACTTGAATGAAAATGCTGTCTTTTGTGAGATTTTATACTGGTTTGCATCCTCTCCATCTCAATTAATTTACTTTGTATTTGAATGGCATCTAATGACAGAGGCGATATGTCTAATGTGGTGCTAGATATTCTACTCTACATTTTAGAACAGGGCTGTATTGTTGGCACAGAATTTAGTTCAGCACACAAAGCTCAAGGAGATTTGGGACTAAATAATTAATTGACTTACAAAATAGAGTGCATGTGGGGCCGTGTGTTTGTTTTGAAGGGGTTAGATTTGATCATCTTACTCAGGCCTGTCTTCATTTCTTTATTTTACATTTAAGTCATTTAGCAGACGCTCTTATCCAGAGCGACTTGCATGCATTTTTCATACTGGCCCCCCGTGGGAAACGAACCCACAACCCTGGCGTTGCAAGCGCCATGCTCTACCAACTGAGCTACACATGGGATTTATAGTATCTCATGTAGGCTTATGTGCAGTGTCATCCAGCAAAAAGCACTCTATAAAGGGTGTGTCCATTACTGCTATTTAGACCTCTGTAATGGCTTAACAGACTACAGAACATAATTTACAAAACATTGCTAACCCTTTTTCATTATTGTCACTTTCTCACTCTCATTGAGCTATATTCGATCTACAGTGTTTATTAGGCCTACATATTTTATTTCGCCTTCAAAATTATAATAATATAGTAATAAAATTAAAAATAACGTCATTATCTGCAAACATGCTTTGTCTTTTGTCAGCGAGTCTGGGCTGTGGCTGTGTGTCGCTGCCTGGTTCAATGAATGAGAAAGCACCGCCCTCCTCCTCCCCTTCCTCCGCCTCCTCCCGCAGTGGCCCGCGCCCTCACTGCTGTTGTCTAGAGAAGAGTGCACTGTTCATCTTTTCGGCGCCTCTATCATACCTTTCCTCATAAAGCAATCAAAATGGTGAGCCGTTCATTTCATTATTTAAAAAAATATTTGTATAGTATAATTTTTTATTTATTACAATTGGGTATACAAATTGTGAGATGTTCCATAATGAGACAGTGGTTATGGTACATTTGCAATGACATTGTCGACATTTTGATTATGGGCTGCTAGAAAGGATGCATGGATCTTGTAGGTCAAGAATGTTCTATTATTCTTGAACGCGCGTGCGTTTAGTAGTTGCCTAGAGAGTTGGTGCTGATGTTGAGTTTTGTTGAAAGATGGTTTGTAGTGTTGAAACCCACGTTTTTTATAGGAACATCCTAAATGGCATCTATATTAAAACAAGTGTAGGCTAATTTAGAAACACACACGCAAATCGAAAGCCATCTGTAATGGACTGCTCTGCCACACAAACCAAGCCACTCCCTAAATAAATTTGGAAAGGGTGTGAATTCAGTCATATAAAAGGCGAAGCATGTGTTGGCCAAATCCAACCAGTTTGTTTATGCCTATGTATAATATCATTATAATAGGCTGTTATGTGTAATTTATCAGAGAAATAGCCTGTTATAGAAAAATGAAATAAATGTAAGGTAAATATTTTTGCTGAAATTCAGAAATGTCACATTAATTATTAATATTGCACTCAGTGAGGTAGGCTAACATCCACCACACCATTTAGCACACTACATTTATTTTTAGTCTCTCAGCATGTTTTTGTCCCTGCAGAATGGCACCAAATCTGACTTGGTATTTCAAAAATGTATTTTTTTAATGGTATCAGCAGTTATGACCCTTCTAGCAGGTGCTAGGCTAGCATATTGAGAGTGACTCTGTGTAGAACACATTCAGACATCAAGGGCAGGTTTCCCGGACTCAGATTAAGCCTAGTCCTGGATTACAAAGCATGGTCAATGGAGAATGTCCATTGAAATACCTTTTTAGTCCAGGACTAAGATTAATCTGTGTCCGGGAAACCGGCCCAAAAGAACACATCTAGACTCCAAAGGTCTCATTATTACATCTTTTTTTTAATGGTCTGGTTGTAATTTACTATACATTTATTGGAATGTGATTATGAGAAGTTAGGACACTTGCCTCAATTACATTTATTTTTTAAATGAATTATATACTTTTCTATTTTTTGAACCAGCGTGAATGTATCTCAGTACACGTGGGTCAGGCTGGAGTCCAGATGGGCAATGCATGCTGGGAACTCTACTGTCTGGAGCACGGGATCCAGCCCGATGGTCAGATGCCCAGTGACAAGACCATCGGAGGAGGAGACGACTCCTTCAACACCTTCTTCAGTGAGACTGGAGCTGGCAAGCATGTCCCCAGGGCTGTGTTTGTGGATCTGGAGCCCACTGTCATTGGTAAGATCACTTTGTCTTGAAACAATGATGATGACACTGTGCAACACACTAAAAACAAATGGTTCTATATAGTGCCAAACATGTAATAGCATAACACAACAGATTAGATCAATTGGAATGACACTCTCACTTACGGTTACACAAAAATAACTGTGCGCAAACCACGCCCCCAAATATTATAATCAGCCGCATTTTAATTATCACTAAAAGAGTAAAGAACCCTTTTTTGAACTGCAAAGGACCATGGAAGGCTTAAAGGGTTATTTGGGTCAGTATGGTTCCACATAGAACCATCACCCTTCCCAAAGAACCTTTGAGGAACCCTAATTTTTTTGTGTGTATCAGTCTTGACTTCTTCAGATAAAAGCGCTTTCTTTGTTCCAGATGAGGTGCGCACAGGAACTTACCGCCAGCTCTTCCATCCTGAGCAGCTGATCACTGGGAAGGAGGACGCAGCCAACAACTATGCACGTGGGCATTACACTATCGGCAAAGAGATCATTGACATGGTTCTGGACAGGACTCGCAAACTGGTGAGAATCTCCAACAACCTCTAGTGATGCCTTATCGTACATCCTGTATATTTCTTGTCGTTGTCCAACCATAATGATCTGAAACATCTCTCTTCCCTCTCCACAGGCTGACCAGTGCACTGGCCTCCAGGGCTTCCTGGTCTTCCACAGCTTTGGAGGTGGCACCGGTTCTGGTTTCACCTCCCTGTTGATGGAACGCCTGTCTGTTGACTATGGCAAGAAGTCCAAGCTTGAGTTCTCCATCTACCCAGCTCCACAGGTGTCCACAGCTGTTGTTGAGCCTTACAACGCCATCCTGACCACCCACACCACACTGGAGCATTCTGATTGTGCTTTCATGGTAGACAATGAGGCCATCTATGACATCTGCCGTAGGAACCTTGATATTGAGCGTCCCTCCTACACTAATCTTAACAGGTTGATTGGCCAGATTGTGTCCTCCATCACTGCTTCCCTCCGATTCGATGGTGCCCTCAATGTTGATCTGACAGAGTTCCAGACCAACTTGGTGCCCTATCCCCGTATCCACTTCCCCCTGGCCACCTATGCCCCAGTGATCTCAGCAGAGAGGGCTTACCACGAGCAGCTCTCAGTGTCTGAGATCACCAATGCTTGCTTTGAGCCAGCCAATCAGATGGTGAAATGTGACCCACGTCACGGCAAGTACATGGCCTGCTGTCTGCTGTACCGTGGCGACGTTGTGCCCAAAGACGTTAACGCTGCCATTGCCACCATCAAAACAAAACGCTCCATCCAGTTTGTAGACTGGTGCCCAACTGGTTTCAAGGTTGGTATCAACTACCAGCCCCCAACTGTGGTACCTGGTGGAGATCTGGCCAAGGTTCAGAGGGCAGTGTGCATGCTTAGCAACACCACTGCTATTGCAGAGGCCTGGGCCCGTCTTGACCACAAGTTTGACCTGATGTATGCCAAGCGTGCTTTCGTGCACTGGTATGTAGGTGAGGGTATGGAGGAGGGAGAGTTCTCTGAGGCCAGGGAAGACATGGCTGCCCTGGAGAAAGATTATGAGGAGGTGGGCGTCGACTCCATTGAGGGAGAGGGAGAAGAGGAGGGAGAGGAGTATTAAATACTATGCCAAATTCACACATTCCTATGTGACCCAGAGCTGAGAATGACTGAATTGTTTCCACTACACTCTTAGAAAAAAAGGTTCCAAAAGGATTCTGTTCCCATAGGATAACCCTTTTTGGTTCAAGGTAGAACCATTTTTGGTTCCAGGTAGAACCCTTTTGAGTTCCAAAAGGGTTCAACCGTGAATCAAAAGGGTTCTACCTGGAACCAAAAAGGGCCCTTCAAAGGGTTCTTCTACAGGCACAGCCAAAGAACCCTTTTAGGTTCTAGATAGCACCTTTTTTTCTAAGAATGTATGATTCTGCCTTGAACAACCAATATAATGAAGTATTAGGATGGTAAGGTGTAGTCTACAACTCTTTTAAAATATGCTCACTCACAAAGGCTGATGTCCTTGCTTCATCTGTGCTTTTGTAGCGAGAGCCTAATAAAATGATCATCAATAAAGAAGGTTGTTCTCTGTCTCTGTTATGACATCCAGTAGCAATGTTATAAGTCACATACAGATAAGTGACCACAGAGTAAATTGATATCAGTAGGTTTATATACGCAAGTGAAATAATTATTTAGCTAACATTACTTTTATCTAGACTAAGCATGTCTGTCTCTGTCAATGCAGTATGTGGCAAAGTTCTGTTTTCATACTGATGAGACATCTGTAATGTTATATTCTTCAGCAGGTCATTTTACATATTGTTATCCTCAGCAGTTTGCTAATGTAGTTTAACTGGTAGATAGAGATAGATAGAGGACTCATCTTTGTATCTGTGCCATTAAAGCGTCTGTGACAGTATGTGCAGCGCCATTGAGGCAAAGTCCATTTTGAAGTAGTACATTTTGTTCTTCATAATTGGCTGATCCATTTGTAAAAAAAAATTGCCAATTAGCAGATGCTCTTATCCAGAGCGACTTACAGGAGCAATTAGGTTTAAGTGTCTTACTCAAGGGCACATCGACCTTTCAGTTACTGGCCCAACGTTCTTTACCACTAGGCTACCTGCCACCCCATGACTGTAACAGGGTCACCAGGCGGGATCAGCCAATGAAGTTGGAAGTCCCACCCAGTTGACTACATTAAAATGGTGGAAGCCCCCAATGGCGCTGCCCATGCTAATATTTGGCCACTAGAGGCCTCTATCATTCTCTATGGACTGGTGCAAGACTTTATAAACAATATCTATGACGAGATTCATAATCAAAAACTCTGGCTCCCTTTACATTTAACATTTTAGTCATTTAGCAGACGCTCTTATCCAGAGCGACTTACAGTTAGTGAGTGCATATATATATTTTTTTTATACTGGAATCGAACCCACAACCCTGGCGTTGCAAATGCCATGCTCTACCAACTGAGCTACATACCTGCCGGCCATTCCCTCCCCTACCGAATTGTGCGCCGCCCCATGGGTCTCCCGGTCGCGGCCGGCTACGACAGAGCCTGGATTCGAACCAGGATCTCTAGTGGCACTGCTAGCACTGCGATGCAGTGCCTTAGACCACTGCGCCACTCGGGAAACCCTTCTGTGGTTTGCGATGGTTCTAGTGTCTGCTGTTTCCTGAGTAAGCCTACACTGTACCAGAAGTACTCCACTGACAGATCACTGTCCATGCAATAGCAAGGTTATTATAGTAAACTAAAACTGAAACTAAAACTAATCATGAAAAAATCTATTTAGTAAAATGAAATATTTTATTAAATATATAAAATAATTAATAAACCCATTTGAAAAACTAAAACTATACTGAAACTATTATCCTGGACTCTAAAACTAACTAAAATCAAATTTAAAACCATAATGAATTATGTTCAGTTTAATATTTCAAGCTACTGAATCTGGCGGGTAAATGCTGCCAGGAGATGGCGATGTCTGAAATAGGCTTAGTTTGTGCATCACTATTAGTCTCTCTAGACCAGCGGAGAACAACTTGCCCCTCTCATTGAGGACTTCAAGTTCAAGGCCTACCGGGGTACTACAGGCAATGTTTTCCGAAAGCAGGATCATGGTCAATATTAATGGGTATAAACAAAAATCAGAACACAATCATGGTACCAATACTTGCTTCTATTTCACCAGATGTATGTCCTTGAACCAATTATTTAAAAAATTGGACACAGAAGAAGTTATAAGGATCCTTTGCAGCCTGCAGTACCCCGGCCGGCCTTCAACTTGAGATACTCAAAGAGAGGGGGCAGCACTGAGCTAGCCTGCAACGTCACCTCCTAGAGTAGCTCAAACTGCATGCAACGTTTCCAAAAAAGCCTCCATGAAGCAAGATGGCGACACTGATCTTCAAATGCGCCACTAAGACCTCACAAAGGAAACAATGAGGTGATGTAATCGATGGCTCCGTCCATTCTTTTTACAGTCTAAGCTCTAGACAGACGGGTTGCTTGCCTAGTTTACGGTGCTCCAAGGTCTGGGATACTCGAGACTACATCACTATCAGCTATCACTAGCTAACATTGAAAGAATCGGCTAGGTAGCTAACTTGATTCTTCTTATATGTCTCTACTGAGGTGAAAAAGCATTGGATTGGTGTAAACATGGGTGAGAGAGTTTCCTTTCACCATATTTTTTTAAAAACCAGTCTCAGCGCTATTCCTATTAAATCCAAGTCATATTGAGATTAAATTATAAAGTCAAAGGGCTAATCAGCAGTTTTCGTAAAAAGCTGAGGGATGGGGCTGGAGAAATGTAACCACTCTAAAATGCATAGAGAGAGCTATGGATACAAAGACCGACCATCCATGATATCCAAAATTATTGTTTTACCCATGTTTTGAGGCTTTACAATGTTTGTTTATATTTACTTTGTTTACAAACATTGGAGTAAACAAGCTTATATGTTGGGTTCTGATGGGTAACGACATTTGAACTAAGCTCATGAGGCACGTATAAGTTATATTCTTCAAGAATCAATGGGTACATATCATTAATTTATAAGTCCAAAAATGGATGAAGCAACTGATGATTGCCCCTTTTAACCTAACAAAACCTATGACCTGACCCTCCACCTTATGTATTACTGCCCCCAAGCTAAAAGAAGTGACATCCCAAAAAACTATACAAGACAAATGGCTCCTAGCCTGGCCCACGCATGCTTTCAGTCCATAACACTAAAACTAAATAATACAAAAACGAAATATGCATATTTGTATATAACTGAAACTAAATAAAAAGTAGAAAATCAGGTCTGAAAACTAACTGAAACTAAATTAAAATCGAAAAACTAATATAAATAAAAACTTAACTAAATAAAACCCCAAATTATAATAACCTTGTGACCAAGCAGACTTTTTCTCTTCTTCTTCTTTTTTTTTTTTTACCACGAATAGGCCTATATCAGAAGATGGTTTCAAAGGTTAGGCCTACATTGTTATCATTTTCAAAGCAATCTGTTATCAAAATAGTTTTCAAACCTCACTCTTGATGTGTGAATTTGCTTATCTTCACGGCATTGCACTTTGGTTGTAGGGTCATGGCTAGAACGAATCCAGCTTTTGTCAGAATTGACTTTTCGTAGCAGGTTTAGGAGAGTTTACCCAGCAGATTAGGTGAATTAACATGGCAGGTTAGGATAAAGGTTAGGGTTAGCTAAAATTCCCCAAAAAACAAAAACAAAAAACAACTTTTGACGTAAATTTTACAAAAGATGGATCCCATCTAGACATAACATGGTTGGTCGTAGGGTTAACACTCTTTTCACGCCTCTCCTTCTTCCGTGGTCATCACTATTCACGCAGTCCTACATGTTCAAATGGTCCAATAGAACGAGCAAAAACGCCTATTTCTTTCCAGGTGGGCGGTACATTTCAGTCCAAAGGCCGCCCAAATGTAGCGAACCGTCATAATCAGTAGCCTATATAAAGTCCCACCCTGACACATTGCTGAAACGTCTCACATTAGACTCCTAAAGGTCGGTCTGTGAGAGTTGGTCGTTAATCTACGGTTTCTTATTTCATCTTTACTGCTCTTTTAAAACTCCTCATCTTAGACATGGTAAGTTTGAATATGAAAATGACTGGAATTGTGATGTAGACTTCTTTAAATGTGGTGTCATGATCGCATAATAAGATTAGGTTATGGATTATCAATCAAACATGACACCATAATTAATACCTGTTGCCTTTATCTTCTGTTGTCTAATACACACATATTTTTTGTTGTTGTTGTAAAATATACTATTTTTTCACACCGTGACAATCAGACATTATCCGATGTGACACAAATAGCCTACATTTGAAAATTCCATATTATGATTTCCTTTGTGTTAGGCTACAAAAGTGACGCTTTTAACACGTTGTAGGATGACTCCTCTGTCAGTTCTAGTGCTGCGCCACATATTCAAAGGCCTTTTATTCCTTATGTAGGGCGGCGCATAGGCTTCTTTCCTTCTCTCCCCTCGCTTCTTGACCATAGTAGGCTATTCTTGCTTTTTTTGCATTGCGGAAAGTGGCACGCGGTTGTAGCATACATGTGTCGTGGTCATATTTATAACTAGTATACAGTGCAAAAGCAGTAAAATCGGAAATGATTTGACACACCATCGAGATGACTTAATCATGTGATTTATAGGTGAGATTTTTTATTTATAGCCTGTCGCCGGTGAAAGTTCGAGGGGCAGGACCTTTTTATAGAATAATAAGGCAGGTGTCATGACATTCTTGTCAATACCTGAATAAACCGGGCAATTCAGACCACGTGGTGCTTTCTCATCTTGTGTAAATAAAGGAAACTAGACTGGCTGTTCCAGCCTATATCAATCATTATAACCCGATTCTATAGTAGGCCCTAAGTCCCTTATAGTCCAGAGGCAGAGACCTGTAGTACACTTTATTTTAGACTACGCCATTTCGTTTAGTTGGAAAGGAGAGTTGCCCATTAAATGGCATAGCCTATTTGCCTCAATCTGAATAAATTGAGATTCAATTCAATTTTTTTAGGGCCACTGAAAAAAAAAACTTTTTCCGCCCCATACATCGCGCTAATCCTTGCCATGCTGATTTTCATTAACCTTACATTGAGGGACAGCTATAATCACTCCCATTGTCATGAGCACCAGATGGTGATGGCATGGTTATGACATGACTCAGAGGACAGTGCCATAGCCAATAACACAGATATAACAGGTCAATCCTGAGTCAATTATTTCTCATTGTTTGATTAGGCCACATTTATATTTAAATCATTAAAATGACAGTCATTGACATGTAGTAGCCTAAATTATACAGCAATAGTCACCCAAACTAGTTTTAATAATGGTCTTGAAGTGTATCCTTAAATTGTGTCTAAATCTTGATTAAATTCAGAAGAGGTTAAACCCCTCAATGATTTAGGGCCATGAGTAGACTTACTCCACTCCAAAAGCTGCTGCCTGTGGTCATGCGCTTTCTCAGCAGCACCAACACAGAGCAGGTCTGTCTCACCCATAGCTGCATATAATCACTGAGTCAGGTGACCTGGGTGTGCTGGTATTAGAGCCAAAGCTATGCATAACTTGAAAACATACAGGTACACATGAAAAGGCTTTTTAATTTTTTTTATAACTGAAACTCTTATGTAGGAAAGACTACCAATATCTGAGCACTCAATTTTACATGATTGTTCTTTCTCCCATAGCGTGAGTGTATCTCCGTCCATGTGGGCCAGGCTGGCGTCCAGATCGGCAATGCATGCTGGGAGCTGTACTGTCTTGAGCATGGGATCCAACCGGATGGAAAGATGCCCAGTGACAAGACCATTGGAGGAGGAGACGACTCCTTTAACACCTTCTTCAGTGAGACTGGAGCTGGCAAGCATGTCCCCAGGGCTGTGTTTGTGGATCTGGAGCCCACTGTCATTGGTAAGATCACTTAGTTTTAAAACAATGAGGTTCTGGTAACATTGGTATAGCTCCTTATTCTTGAGAAAAGCTAACGGATCTTTCTCCAGATGAGGTGCGATCTGGAACTTACCGCCAGCTCTTCCACCCTGAGCAGCTGATCACTGGAAAGGAGGATGCAGCCAACAACTACGCCCGTGGGCATTACACTATCGGCAAAGAGATCATAGACTTGGTTCTGGATAGGATCCGCAAACTGGTGAGAATCTCCAATAACCTTTAGTGATGTCTTATTGTACATGGTACATCCTGCCTACTGTCTTCCATTAACAATAACCTAAAACGTGAAACATTTTCTCCTCCCTCTCTCTCCAGGCTGACCAGTGCACTGGCCTCCAGGGCTTCCTGGTCTTCCACAGCTTCGGAGGTGGCACCGGTTCTGGTTTCACCTCCCTGTTGATGGAACGCCTGTCTGTTGACTATGGCAAGAAGTCCAAGCTTGAGTTCTCCATCTACCCAGCTCCCCAGGTGTCCACAGCTGTTGTTGAGCCCTACAACGCCATCCTGACCACCCACACCACACTGGAGCATTCTGACTGTGCTTTCATGGTAGACAATGAGGCCATCTATGACATCTGCCGTAGAAACCTCGATATCGAGCGTCCTTCCTACACTAACCTGAACAGGTTGATCAGCCAGATTGTGTCCTCCATCACTGCATCCCTTCGATTCGACGGTGCCCTCAATGTTGATCTGACAGAGTTCCAGACCAACTTGGTGCCCTATCCCCGTATCCACTTTCCCCTGGCCACCTATGCCCCAGTGATCTCAGCAGAGAAGGCTTACCACGAGCAGCTGACTGTTTCAGAGATCACAAACGCCTGTTTTGAGCCATGTAATCAGATGGTGAAATGTGACCCACGTCACGGCAAGTACATGGCCTGCTGTCTGCTGTACCGTGGCGACGTTGTGCCCAAAGACGTTAACGCTGCCATTGCCACCATCAAAACAAAACGCTCCATCCAGTTTGTAGACTGGTGCCCAACTGGTTTCAAGGTTGGTATCAACTACCAGCCCCCAACTGTGGTACCTGGTGGAGATCTGGCCAAGGTCCAGAGGGCAGTGTGCATGCTTAGCAACACCACTGCAGTGGCAGAGGCTTGGGCCCGTCTTGACCACAAGTTTGACCTGATGTACGCCAAGCGTGCATTTGTGCACTGGTACGTAGGTGAGGGTATGGAGGAGGGAGAGTTCTCTGAGGCCAGGGAAGACATGGCTGCCCTGGAGAAAGATTATGAGGAGGTGGGAGCAGATAGCGTGGAAGGAGAGGATGAGGGAGAAGAATACTAAGAATCAGGACATGTCAGCCTGTCGCAACACATTCAACCATTTCCCTCTAAACATTCCTCATGGAACCATGTTTTGCTGTCCCTTTGTAACCTTCACTTTTAAATCTTGCGCTCTTTATTGCAATAAAAGTCAATTTCAGTGTTTGTAAACTTGTTTGTGATTCATCACCCTGCATACAATATGAAGGTCATATGTTCTGCACTGCACATAATCAAATGACAACTTGACATCCACAAAGGAATGTCTCATAATACAAAATACAGCACTTACTATGATTGCGCTGCTGTGTTGGATATCGCAGCTTGCCCTGAATGAGGCTGAAAATTGGGACTGTTTCATAAAATCTATGCCAATATAGTCGGAATAGGAGAACTGAAAATACTGGTGCATAGAAATGTGGGACAACAGTCTTTTGATCCCCTTCAACAAAACTCCTTTGTTCTTGATGGAACATTTATGGCATTTGAAGCATTCCGGTTTGATTTAAAAAGGAAGTGTGTGTGTACGTCATCGATAATAGTGCGCTTAGGCTGTATATACATTGGCTACCTAGCCTCAGTAATTTGATGTCAGTAAGGGGCCTTTTGGATGGTATCCACATACCCTTCTATTACAAATAGTCATCCTTGGAATTACTGTTGGCAGTGTTAGTATTAGAGACCTCTGACCCATACTTCAGAGCTATAAAAGAAAAGTGCAGCAGCTTATTACATTCATGCCGGTGTCAACTCCTTGTGAGTGAAGTGAACATGTTTAAAACAAGCTACAACAGCATTTCCTATCCCCTTCCTTTACAGGCAATAGACAGCTGAGGTGAAACGAGAAAGTAGGCCTAAACTTTGAATACAAGGTCTTCAGTGAAGAGTAAAGGGTGTCTACTGTATGGAAATTATTTTTGAAACCTTGAGATTGATTATGTGGGAATATTTAAATTGCCTTTAGTGGAGGGGGTCTGGGTCTGATTAAATAATCCTCAGTATCATACATTGAATAGAGGTATGGCTGATATATTCCTGGCCTTTGTTTGGCTCAGCTGTAATGCCAGAGATAAGGACAGAATGCACCCCCAAACTACTTCCCGCGGCTATGCATCCAAAGTCTGAGACCACATTCTTTTAACATTCCAGACAGCAGCTCCATTATCATGTATGAATATGGAGTCATCTGTGTATGACAAAATAAAATAATACAATGGGGACTAGCATGGCATTTTCTTATCAATGGTTTACGGTGCTGTTATAACACGTAAATACTTTATGAATGATTTATACTTTTTTTTAAATATAATTTTTGTTGTTCTTACTTTCAGATCATTAACTTAGAGCTTGACTGTTGAGGTTAGATAAGCAGGTGGAGAATGATGTCAACATACTGAGAGCATGTTGCCTCATATGCCACCATGTGTTTCCCGCCACATTTACACTGTCATTACCTACCTGGTCTGACCTGTGTAGCCGGTGCTGATAGATGGTTAACTGCAGCTGTAGCCAAGTGAAAAATGAAGCATGTCATGGCTGCTTTAATTACGAGCTGCTAGACACACTCATGTCTTTGAAATTGACGCTGCTTGGTATGTCTGCTGGGAGGAAGCACTAATACAAGATATATGAGGTCTATACATCAGAAGATGATTGTGTCCTAGATTTTACAGTGAGACAAGATAGCTTTTTTTTGGGGGGGGGGGGGGGGGGGGGTTGTGCGTGTGTGCGTGCGTGCAAAGGGAGGGGATAGAGACTCAGGACATGGGAAACCAGATCAGCTGCCATTTGAGAATATTGGTCTTTATCGGGAAAAAAGGAACAGTGAAAGATTGCTGTTACAGTGTGTAATCTTCCATTAAGGAAAGACAGAGGCAGGGAGAGAGAGGGGGGGAGCAAAAGAGAAAACTCATTTACTATAAGGCAGGTTGATTAGATTATGGTGCAAGGCCCAACACACAGGAAATTCATTACCAAGAAAGCCAGACATGGGCAGCAGCTGGCCAATTGCTGTACTGCTGCACTCATGCAGCCATACATAGAGAGAGACTTTGATGTATGAAATGTTTTAAAGAGATTGTTGAATAATTGGGAGCAAAAATTTTGTTGTGTCTTTGGATCTCGAAATGAATTGAAGAGGAATGGGAGGGAGCAAATCACAGATCATGAGAGGACAGGGAGGGAGAGAGGGAGAGAGAGACCGGGAGGGAGGGATGTACTATAAAGAGAGGGATAACCTCCCACAGTTGACAAGGTGCATGCTCAGCATTGCTTCAACATTAAAATGGATCGGTAGCATGTCTTTGCCTTGCCCAATAATGGACTAAAGGAGCCTAACGTTACTCCTTGTAGTCAAGGACCTTACATGTTCTGTTTAGAGGCCAATTGGCTCTGGTAGCCAAAACAGCCAAATACTCCATCTAAACGTGAATCGATTCTCAATTGCATTACAGTTCTAGAAACATGAAGCCCTCTACTTTCACATCACATCAAAATAATTTCACAAATGCAAAATATACCCTTACTGTACACTGTTTTAACCGGTTTTAACACAGTTGCACCTGACAGTATTATTCAGTGACAACACGTTTGTGGCGTCCGTCTTCCGTTTACACACAGGTGTTCAGAGATGCAAATCGCTAATTAGCACAGGTACGCCACAGTCCCCTGTAGCTCAGTTGGTAGAGCATGGCGCTTGCAACGCCAGAGTTGTGGGTTCGTTTCCCACAGGGGGCCAGTATGAAAATGTATGCACTCACTAACTGTAAGTCGCTCTGGATAAGAGCGTCTGCTAAATGACGTAAATGTAAATGTCTTCCATGCACACTAACCCACACAACCCAACACACAGAGCTGGCAACTAATTTGCCTCTGCAGTAGAATGCATTTTGGCCTCCTGGAACTTCATATTGTACTTTCTAAGTTTTGCTCTGAGGCTATGCACTGCAGTACAATAACATTGAGCAACAGCTGAGCAATAGGCAGTGTAGTACAACATTTTTAATACAGTAAGAAGTTATTCTTTCACTCATTATCAACATATTATGCTTCTGTATATTTTGAATATGACTAAATTGTTTAAAATGTAAATCTTGACTTATTTTCTTAGATTCCTTGTCACTACTGGGGGGTGGTTTTTGCTAATGACACCTTCCCGGACACATAGCATTCCTCCTAGTCACTTTCTACATTCTTTGTCTCCAGACCTCTAATTCTACGTCCTGTAGCAGCTGTGCTGTCTATCGCCTTGGAATCCTGCTGCTTCTCCCTCAGATTCTCAAGGCTTACTCAGTCCAGAGCCTACCCATGTACTGCAAAGTAAGTTAAGCATTATGTATTTAATTAATTTTGTTACAATAAAAGTTAGACTGGTCGACCAATATGATTCTAAAACCCTTTGTCTCAGTTTGAACAAAATACCCACAAAAATATGAGATTTAGATGTTGTCATTATGTCTGAGCTCAGAGGACATGACAGGATCTTAAGTATAAGAAAAATGTTGTTCTGAAATCTGCTGAGCTGCTGAGTAGATCTCGCCCATCCTAATTTCGAAAACAGGATTCAAACAGAGATCACTCTAAACCAGTCAGCCATGCAGGATAAAATTGCACAGTCATTGCCCTTGCCTGCCAGAACATCAATATAATATTCCATTACCGTGGAAATAAAGGGAAGAGACAGAGAGGGGAAATAAATTCAGCGCTGCAGTCATAACCAAATGAGCTTTGTGATATAAGAACCTGATTAATAAAACAAATGTCTGTTTTGGGATTTATTTGGACAACTTTACAATGTCTTACATAATCTACTGTACCATTACAGTTAAATGAAGGACATTAACAGTGAAAGAGAAGACAGATGATAGAGTGACAAGGAGTGGGATAGAGCAACAGGAGGAGATTATTTGCAAAAAAAAGAAGAGGAAAAGTGCAGGAAAAAAAAGCAGGGAGCAGACACAGCATCCTACAGAGGATATATCAGCTGTCAAGGTGAGGAGGGAGAGGTGGGCGATGGAGACATCTTTAGAGATAGAGGCATTAACGTGGGAAACAGTTTGGCCTCCTGCTATGGACAAAAGGGAGGGGCAGGTGGAAGAGAGAGAGAGAAAACACAGGGGGGAGAGGGCCTGCTGCTGTCGGCCGGGGTGTGGCCTAAGACTGCATGTATGTTGAGGAGTGATGGATAGAGGAAGGGGGCAGGGGCTCTGGAGACTAGGAGGGAGGGAAGTAGGGTGTGGGTGAGGAGGGGGTGTTTGCAGAGAGGCAGCGGGGGATGGGGGTGAGGCAGATGGGATGTCCAGCTCGTGTGTATAAAAGCCCCAGCGCTCCTCAGTCGGACACCCTGTTGCTTCACTCCCTGCTCCCAGGCACCTTCGGCTCCACAGAGACAGTAAGAAGGAGATATAGTTAGAAATAGATAGTTAGCAAAATTAGAGGCTGCCAAATCTCAACCATGAGCCACCCTTCAATGAACCACCCTTCAGGACGCGCCTCCACCTCCTACCGCCGCACGTTCGGGGGCCCCAACCCCATCTCGATGTCCTCCTATTCGCCTTCATACTCCCGCATGCCAATGTCCAGCGGGCACTACATGCGCTCCATATCGCCCGTGGTGCCCTCTCGCTCCTCCAACTACCACCACCAGCAGCGCCAGCGCTCCAGCACCCAGCCGCCCCGTCTCACCTACGAAAAGGTGGACTTCCAGCTGGCCGACACGGTCAACGCCGAGTTCCTGGCCACCCGCAGCAACGAGAAGGTGGAGCTGCAGGACCTCAACGACCGCTTTGCCAGCTTCATCGACAAGGTGCACTACCTGGAGCAGCAGAACAGCGGGCTGCAGCAGGAGCTGAGCCAGTTCAAGGGCCAGCAGCAGGAGGGACAGCCCAACCGGGCCACCGAGCTCTTCCAGGAGGAGCTGAGGGAGCTGAGGCGCCAGCTGGACCATGTGGGCAAGGAGAGGGACCAGTACCAGGTGGAGAGGGACAACCTGGCAGAAGACATTCACCTTATCAAACAGAGGTTGGTGACACGGAGGAGAGAGTGGGAGGGAGGGGTGGGGTGTTGAGGATGTTTGGGGAGTGAGGGTTAAGGTAAGGGAGGGTTGTAGGATGTTTGGGTAGTGCATGGGTGCGTGGGTGACGTAGAAAGATTTTGGGAATAGGGTTGGAGTAAAGGGGGTTGGAGAAAGTTTTGGGGGGCATGGATAATGTGGAAAGATTTTGGGAGCAAGAAGTGGGGGGGATTGTTTGGGATGTACATGAGTGATGTAGAGAGATTTTGGGAGGTAGTGGTGTTTGAAAAGGGGGATGTAACGATTGGGAGTGTATTTCAGGAAGTTGGCAGAGGTAGCAGGGGACTAGCAGTTTTTTGGACTCTGATGTTGATAGACACATTCTGGGCTGAGCCTGTCGGGGAGGGGACAGGGACAGGGTGTGTGACTGTGTACAGTCTGTGACTTTCACATAATCACCACCCTCCCCTCAACCCCCCTAATCTTTAAACATACCCTTACACCACAATGTTCATGGGCTGTATTTTAAACACTGATACAGGACAGGGGGTCTTTGGGCTCCAGCCAAAAACTCCAGACCAGCAGTGGTGGGCTGGCTGGGGTGTGGCACTTTAGAAGGATGAACACAAAAGCACCGCAGCATACTACCGCACTCTGTGCTTTACTGCAGTGTGTGTGTGTGTGTGTGTGTGTGTGTGTGTGTGTGTGTGTGTGTGTGTGTGTGTGTGTGTGTACACGCTAAATGTCATGGCATTGGACAGGAAGGATCCAACATAAAACAAGATGAAGTGCTTCAGCATATCATAACCAAGCAATGAATGGAACACCAAGGAAAACAAGGCACTACAGTATCAGAACATTTCTACATTGTCAGAACATTTCTACTTGACCATTTATACAGTATTTACAAACTTTCAATGGACATCTTAGCATCTGTTTTATTAAATCAAACACATTTCATTAAATGGAAGATGAAACTTCCTGCATGGAATGTAAATATAGACAATAACACATTTAATTTGAAATTACACTGCAGTTCCATCAGCCCTTTCAAACCAAACCAAAATATTTTGCTTTCAAACTCAAACTTGAGAAGAACCAGACAACCAGTTATGGGAAACAGTATTTTTCCCCATTTGAGTTACTTAGATTATCAGAACAATTTCTGTAGACATACACTAGCTACATGTAAACGCACAAACACTCCCCATGTCAATTCCCTGCCCCAGAGAGGGGGAGAGAGGACAGAAGTGGAGGATGGATAGACTGCGCACAATGGAGCCAGGAAAGACATAGGGAGGGGGATGAGAGAGGGAAGAGGCAGTAGAGGAGGAAGAGGGGGAGGTGTAGGTGGGGAGAAAAATAGCATCTGGAATAATCAATGTGACTCAATGAGAGTGGCTCCATTAGGGGATGTTCAGTGTCCCCCTTGGCTGATGGGACGGTGCCTGGGACCCCATTAGGAAAAAAGGACCCCTGCGACATGGCATGAATTAAAGATGAGGTGAGGCAGCAAGCCCCACACATGCAGTAATCCCCTCCCCCACAACCAGCAATCAAGTGACTGACCACAGGGACAACCAATCCCCAGCGAGCCTGCTGTGATTCCATGTTAGATACGGAGAGGACATGGTGTGCACTGAATGATTTCATTGGACTTATGATATCATTTTTTATGACTCATCACGACAGTGGAAGAGACACTCCCTGTTCTATGACCCTGTCCTATGATGACTAATACAAAACCAAAAGCTTTATCAAGCTGTTTTAACCTATTGGAATATCTATTCAACCAGGCTTTATATTTTTACAGTTTAAATCTGCTTATAAAACATTATGTATATTTGACATTTGGGAAAGCGAAGGCTTAGTCAGACCAGTCAGTATACTATTAGGCTTACATAGTATAGACTTTGGCAGCAGAATGCCCAGAGCTATCAGGCTTAAGACAGGGTGTGTCCAGATGACCTCCAAGAAGGGGTGATTAGTCAAATTTGTTTAGTGTAGCAGCTGCTGACCCCATTGGATATGCTCCCAAATCCTTTTACAGGACAGTGAATTACCAAATTGATCCAAAGGATTTTTGCCAGCTGATGCTTCTTTCTGAGGAGAAGGCCTATGACATCCAGCCAGACATACTCGTGTTGCATCCCAAATGGCACCCTATTCCCTATAAAGTGCACAACTTTTGACCAGAGCCCTATGTAGGGAATAGCGTGCGATTTGGGACGAAACCTCAGATAGCACTTATGCAATTAGCACTGTGTTCCGTCCTGTCCCAAGGCTTCAGCTTCCTTTGTCCAGAGCTTGACTAAACCTAGACTAAAACCCAAGTATTGTGAACGATATAAAATTAGTTCTGAAGTGCCATAAAGAGATACATAGGGTAATGTGTGTTTATTAACTACAAAGTTCTATAATATATGGTGTAAAATATTTAATGATTGTAATGTGTATTTCATTTCCATTCATTTATTTATTCTAAGGTGGAGGTCTGAGGTTCCACAAATAGATAATATGAATCTACAACATTAATTTCCATAGGCCTATGCATGATTGTAATACATAATTTCTCCTTGTGTGTATTTCCTTCTTACAGGCTGGATGAGGAGAATCAGAAGAGGGCTGAGGCTGAGAGCAACCTGCTTGTCTTCCGCAAGGTAAACACACCCTAGACTCAAACCATCACAATGTACACCAAATCAATATTTTGGGCAGCGAGTCAATAGTTGACGGTAAAAGTCTGATTGAATCACTCAGCCTGGATAATTACATTTTACATTTACATTTTAGTCATTTAGCAGACGCTCTTATCCAGAGCGACATACAGTTAGTGAGTGCATACATTATTTTTTTTATTTTTCATACTGGCCTCCCGTGGGAATCACATTTGGCTCGCCGGTTGTGATGTCAGAGCCCAACCCAAAGCTTCCCTTTCCTCATAGCCCTGCATAACAGTGACATCTTCTGGTTGGCTGAGATAGAGCTGATTATTATGATTACATTACATTTACATTTACATTTACGTCATTTAGCAGACGCTCTTATCCAGAGCGACTTACAGTTAGGGCATACATTATTCTTTTTAATTTTCATACCCCATGGGAATCGAACCCTCAACCCTGGCGTTGCAAACGCCATGCTCTACCAACTGAACTACCTCCCTGCCGGCCATTCCCTCCCCTACCCTGGACGACACTGGGCCAATTGTGCGCCGCCCCATTGGTCTCCCGGTTGCGGCCGGCTACAGCAGAGCCTGGAGCCGGCCTGAGAACCCTGAACAGCTCTGAGAACCCTGAAATCATGGGTATTCACTACAGATGTAGGATCTTAATTTGAGCCAGTTTGCTACAGCAGGAAAATAATCCCGCAGCAACAGGAAATGTGAATTATTATGTGAATTATAATTCATGGACCTTTTTGTAGGGGTCGATACATTTTTCATAACGGGAAATCAAGTCTAAAATGTCAAAGTGGAAGTTACAAACTTCAGAAGCCTTTTAAATCTCAAATACACTACACATTTTAAATGTCCTGCATTGCAGGAAAGTTCTCCTGCAACAGGGTGATCTAATTAAGATCCTACATCTGTAGGAACCAAACAGAAACAAACAGACCAAAACAGCGAGGGACTAATCTGAACTACTCCAATAAGAAATGCTTGTTTTCGTTACAATTTGTTTTATATGGTTTGCACCAGTGTGCGCTAATACAAACTAGGATACGTATGACAAAACACAATATTGATAGCACTGCATTGTGGATATAAAACCATATGCTAAATGGCATATTATATATTATTATATTATATATGCATCCCACTCACTGTTAAGAGTTATCGAATGAAGCCAATAAGATTTGTTTAACCTGTTTGGGGGTTGATTAAATACTTACTAATAGCAGTTTGATCTGAAACCAGGATGTGGATGATGCAACTCTGTCTCGCCTGGAGCTGGAGAGGAAGATCGAGTCTCTGATGGATGAGATTGACTTCCTCAAGAAGCTACATGATGAGGTAGATGCCGCTGCTGAGATGGTCGACCACAAATCATGGTCTTCATAATGATCCATGCATCATCATACCTTTTTGGATTCAACCTGCCATTTAGAGGCCTTTTTTTCAACTAACGTCTCACTTGCTCTGCGGTCTTCTCAGGAGATCCAGGAGGTGCAGGTGAGTTTCCAGACCCAGCAGATGAAGATTGAGGTGGACCAGACCGCCAGGCCTGACCTGACCGCTGCACTCAAGGACATCAGGGCCCAGTACGAGAACATCGCCTCCAAGAATATGCATGAGTCTGAGGAGTGGTACAAGTCCAAGGTGAGGGGGGAACAATGGACACACACACAAAAATTGCACTACCTAACGACACACACACACTCATGCACACAGAGTAACACCTGTTCTTATTTGTGTGTTTGTTCTGTGCTCCTGCAGTTTGCTGACCTGACGGACTCTGCCAAGCGTAACACTGATGCTCTGAGGCAGGCCAAGCAGGAGCAAAATGAGCACAGGAGGCAGATGCAGTCCCTCAACTGTGAGATCGATGCACTGAAGAGCACGGTGAGGCCTCACAGAACCTGCCTATTTATCTGTAATCATCTCCAGTTTACACTGGCTGAGTGAGCAACAAGAGTACAATGATCTCAGGCTTAGCCCAAAATGCCATGAATCACCCAAGTGGGTCATGCATGTAAGTAGAGGATGATGCGAGTGAGCAAATTCCTTCATAATTTCCTCCCACACAAATCTCCCACAATCATCCTCCAGTGATGGAATACAGTGTCTTATAAGCCCATGTGGGCTGGGCATCCTGAAGATGCAAGATACTCTAATAATAAAATAAAATCCCCCATTTCCTCCTGCCCACACTGTATGTATGTGTGTATTTTTCAGAACGAGGCTCTGCTGAGGCAGATGCGTGAGATGGAGGACCAGTTTGGCGTGGAGGCCAATAACTACCAGGACAACGTGGTCCGCCTGGAGGAGGAGATCCACCACCTGAAGGATGAGATGGCCCGCCACCTGAGGGAGTACCAGGACCTGCTCAATGTCAAGATGGCCCTGGACATAGAAATCGCCACCTACCGCAAGCTGCTGGAGGGAGAGGAGAGCAGGTGAGGAGGATAAGGGTTAGGACATCCTTACTCGCATCTGATTATAAACACATTCCGGAGCTAACCTATTGCTTCATTTCCCTTTAGGATTATGGTTCCCATGCATCCCTCCCAGTATGGCCGTAGTGTCGATAGGGGTGAGTTCCATCATATTGCCAATAATAATAGTCTTTATCGCTTTATTTATTTCCCTCTCCAAGCAAATACACATATACTTGCCAGTATTATCTTTAGATTTAACATATCCATAATCTATTACATTTATATAAATGATCATGCACAGTATCTATGTCACTAAATCTGGCTTATCCTCTCATAGACTATGACCATACCCCAGACACCCCTAGCAGGAAGCCCGTGGTGATTAAGACAGTGGAGACTCGTGATGGAGAGGTAAACATTCCAAATATTTCCTGGTATCAAGAAAATGTGTTCCATACTTTCCATGTCCACCTTGATATTCATTATACAGTGTAACTTCACTATACAGCATTTGCAGGAAGTGGTGTAATTGGACTGAGGTCTGTTTCTCTTCTTCTCTTCCTCCAGGTGGTGAAGGAGTCAAAGAAGGAGAAGGAGAGGAGCGAGAGGGATGGCAACCATGACAGTAATGACAGGGATCATGGCAGGGATGACCACGATGACTAGAATAGTTAGGTACCAATCACCTGTTCCAGATTCAGATGTAACAATACAACACAAAAGATGGAAACCAAAAAGCAAGAAGTAAAACATCTATAAATAGTTAAAAGCTTCATACTCTTTAATTGTTGCTCACCTTTCACCCTTTAAGATTTCATTTTTCTGTAGAGCAGAGAGCCTGTAGTATATATTTGTGCAATGTTAAAAGTTGACGAAATCTCTTTTAAATAGCAAACTTAATCACAGGATGTGATCGTGGTGCTACTTTCAATAACCGATCATTCCTCATTGAAGAAAAAAGACAAAACAAAGACATCCATACATGAGCATACACAGACACGATAGTCATATCATGCAGTGAATGAACACAAGACTTGAGTAGCTCCTGGGTCAAATTTAACCTTTTTATAGATACACCACTTGAGGCCTTGATTTACAGTTAAATTATATAATTTTTTTTGTAGCTGAACTTCTCGTTCAATAAAACGGGTAAATGGAAAGAGGCATAACAAAGCAACAGGTTTTTTGTAATCCCTCCACAAAAAAAACAACTCTGACATGGTATTCTCTCCAGTCGAAGGACATGATCTGATTTAGCTTTGAGAGACAGTGGACAACGATCAGTACAATTTGAAAGGGAGAGGGTCTTTGTATAGTGTCATGGAACTCTCAATGTAAAATATCCTGCCAGAGAGGGACCACCAATGGGATTGATTATAGATACATACAGAACAGTCAAAGGCGACAGTAGCAGCACCACATACTCTGCTCACATTGCACTCACCTCAAAATACAAGGGAAATGTGCTTACATGGGAATATGTGTTTCTGACAACAATAGAAATGAAAAAAGAAAATGCTAATAAAGTAATCTGGAACAGAGCTATGGAGTGTATCTTTATTCATTTGTATTGTATATTATCATACTACTACAAAATCATGTATAAAATGGAGATAAGTTTGACAATTACAATGAATGTGTATTTGCATAAGTGAAACATATCAATCTACAAGTGTTATACAGCAGAAATGTGTTCAACATGAACTTGACACAGTAATAATTCATAATAACTAAGAAATCTGAAAAAGAAAATATTTCCAGTGCTCTTTTGTGTGAAGTGTACTTTAAAAAAATAGAAAATATAGATAAATGACTAGTTAATCACCATGGAGACTGGCACCTTGTGGGACAAAATGCAGCCAAGGAACTTCCGGTGAGTAATGCAGAGGCTGGTCATTGCGCCCCCATGGAAATCTCTTAATGTACTTATCTTTTAAACAGAGCAACTGGGACCAAAATACAACTAGAGACGAAAATAGTCACTGTTCCGTTCATTCCGGTGTTCATGCTGAAATAGCCTGACATACTCTAAACAGGTGCACCTGGTTGTTGTCACTTCTAAGGCTTGACATGTAATCTGACATCATTTTCATGCAAATGATTACAAAAAATCTAATCACACACATTGACAATATCAATTCTTCCTGCAAAACAAGAGCATATTCTACCTGTAGGCTAACCTGTTGGCATGCAATGCAAGTGTGGATGATCTATTTTATAATGTAGGTATACCACCCTATAATAACATGTCTATGTAACAAATCATTCCCTAACGTTTGTTTTGATGTTATCCTAATTGGTCCAGAAATGTCAATAGTAGGTGTAGGCTAATTAACGTGAGGGGCTAACAACTATTTCTTAGCAGCCACTGATGACACTAAAGTGCATGACCTACCATTTAACAGCAGTGAAGGCTACAATTCATGAGAGCGCAGCATCGGCGGTGGTCACGCTGAACTTAAGTGTGATTCTTGGAAGAAACCAACAGGTGCAGTATAGTATCATGTGGAGCTATTTTACACAAAAAAATCTTACCGTCTGTATAGTTTTACAGAAAGACGTGCACATTTTACACATGACCTAATAATTACATGCAATAAAAGTGAACCAATGATCCATGAATAACATTTGCAATTCATACAACAACACATTTCTACCCCTTCAAGTATCTTTCAGCAGCCCGACATGAACTGAGCAATGTTCCTACATAGGCCTACAGTTAATCAGTGTATATGACGGCTGTCGGCAAAAATATCTTTAGCTGGGACAAGTGGTGATCACAACATTTCAATTAGTCTACACCTGGTTTTTGACAGGTATGTTGATGATAATGATAATGTAGGCTATTGATAATCCGGTATATGGCCTGTTATTGCTCGATATGTAGAAACCGGCCACCTTAGGGCTACCCCCTTATGGCCAGCTACGGTGACTCTACTTGTTTGCTGCTTTTCATAACCTAAGAGAGAATTTTTTTTATGTATATAGACTTGGTCTATAATTGCATTAATAAAACAGCATTAACATTTTTCTTTAAGACGCAATGTGTAGGCCTATGCTATAAATAAAGATGAGGAACAAAGGGGTTTATTGGCTGCGTTTTACCTATGAAAGAATGTAGGGTGTTCACCCATAAAATTATTAATTCATTCAAGGTTTATACAATAGAACATTCCGTCAGAAAAACAATAGTCCAAACCGCATGTCTCTACCATATAAGGTTCAAAAGTTACCGACGATTTACTCTGAGAATTTAGCATGTTTAGAGTGAATGGAATATTGGAATGTCATCCCAGGCATTATCAAATAGTGGTCACTGCTCGATAGAACTCTGTGGAAATGCTTTTTCTAAATTAAATCCGCTGAATAAAAAACTAAATAGGGACTAAATATATATTTATTTATAAAGCTAATAGACTGAATTTAAATATCCACCCTCCGCAAAGAATCTGTTCCTGTTTTCATTGTGTAGGTTATTTCTGAGTCTTTCCCTTTAAATCGTCATAGAAACGGCCCCTCTCAACATAAACTCAGCAAAAAAAGAAACGTCCCTTTTTCAGGACCCTGTCTTTCAAAGATAATTAGTAAAAATCCTAATAACTTCACAGATCTTAATTGTAAAGGGTTTAAACACTGTTTCCCATACTTGTTCAATGAACCATAAACAATTAATGAACATGCACCTGTGGAACGTCGTTAGACACTAACAGCTTAAAGATGGTAGCGCACGGCGTGGTCCTCTGTAGCTCAGCTGGTAGAGCACGGCGCTTGTAACGCCAAGGTAGTGTGTTCGATCCCCGGGACCACCCATACACAACAACAAAAAATGTATGCACGCATGACTGTAAGTCGCTTTGGATAAAAGCGTCTGCTAAATGGGATATTATTATTATTATTATGGTAGGCAATTAAGGTCACAGTTATGAAAACTTAGGACACTAAAGAGGCCTTTCTACTGACTCTGAAAAACACCAAAAGAAAGATGCCCAGGGTCCCTGCTCATCTGCGTGAACGTGCCTTAAGCATGCTGCAAGGAGGCATGAAGACTGCAGATGTGGCCAGGGCAATAAATTGCAATGTCCGTACTGTGAGATGCCTAAGACAGCGCTACAGGGAGACAGGACGGACAGCTGATTGTCCTCACAGTGGCAGACCACGTGTAACAACACCTGTACAGGATCGGTACATCCGAACATCACACCTGTGGGACAGGTACAGGATGGCAACAACAACTGCCCGAATTACACCAGGAATGCACAATCCCTCCATCAGTGCTCAGACTGTCCGCAATAGGCTGAGAGAGGCTGGACTGAGGGCTTGTAGGCCTGTTGTAAGGCAGGTCCTCACCAGACATCACCAGCAACAACGTCGCCTATGGGCACAAACCCACCGTCGCTGGACCAGACAGGACTGGCAAAAAGTGCTCTTCACTGACGAGTCACGGTTTTGTCTCACTAGGGGTGATGGTCGGATCCGCGGTTATTGTCGAAGGAATGAACGTTACACCGAGGCCTGTACTCTGGAGCGGGATCGATTTGGAGGTGGAGGGTCCGTCATGGTCTGGGGCGGTGTGTCACAGCATCATCTGACTGAGCTTGTTGTCATTGCAGGCAATCTCAACACTGTGCGTTACAGGGAAGACATCCTCCTCCCTCATGTGGTGCCCTTCCTGCAGGCTCATCCTGACATGACCCTCCAGCATGACAATGCCACCAGCCATACTGCTCGTTCTGTGCGTGATTTCCTGCAAGACAGGAATGTTAGTGTTCTGCCATGGCCAGCGAAGAGCCCGAATCTCAATCCCATTGAGCACGTCTGGGACCTGTTGGATCGGAGGGTGAGGGCTAGGGCCATTCCCCCCAGAAATGTCCGGGAACTTGCAGGTGCCTTGATGGAAGAGTGGGGTAACATCTCACAGCAAGAACTGGCAAATCTGGTGCAGTCCATGAGGAGGAGATGCACTGCAGTACTTAATGCAGCTGGTGGCCACACCAGTACTGACTGTTACTTTTGACCCCCCCTTTGTTCAGGGACACATTACTCAATTTCTGTTAGTCACTTGCCTGTGGAACTTTTTCAGTTTATGTCTCAGTTGTTGAATCTTGTTATGTTCATACAAATATTTACACATGTTAAGTTTGCTGAAAATAAACGCAGTTGACAGTGAGAGGACGTTTCTTTTTTTGCTGCGTTTAGATTGATAGCCATTATAGGCAATGAAAGCCAATGATCTGGAGGTGAAAATTACGAAGATATCAAGTTGATTTTGATTGGTCCAACCAGTGGAAACACCTCCCAATGGTACCACCTCACAACACCAAATATGGAAGAAATACAACCAAGAGCGTCGCAGTCTAAACTAGCAACGGTCACAGCAAATTATCGTTCTTATTTCATTAACACTGTCAATTACAAGTATATTAAGGTTATAATATTGTAGAGAACAATCTAATGATTAATTCAATGTAATTTATAATGACATAGAGCAAAGAAAACGTTTTTACATAAATTTCGTAGTAACCTCTTGAATTGCCCCGTTTGTCTCTACATTGTACAGCAGTGAGTGAACACCCTAAAGAATGGCAGACTGAATATAGCCTATGTTAGGGGTGGGCAACTGGCAGCCCACAGGCCGCATGCGGCCCCCCTTTAGAAGGCCCCCGGAT